TGTTGTCGATATATATATATTTTTTTTCTTTCTCATCTTTTTTTTTTCTTTTACTCTTAAACATTTGCTTAACTCGAAAACAGGAAATAACCTGTCTCTCTCGTTTTCATTATATACGCACACGCACACACCATCGTATGCTATTCGCTTCGTTACACATGCGATTAGTCACGCTTGTACAAATTCTCTTCAATTCTCGGCTTTTTTTTTTCATTCTTTTCTCCTGTTCTGGTAATCATCAAGTGTGTTGATTCTGGTTGTTGTAGTCAGACATCTATGAGTGTGTTGCCGGGCGGCTGATTACTCGAGTAGATGAAGCGTGTCTGTCTCTCTCTCTCCGTTTTAATGTGCGCGAACGCACGTCTGGCATTTTCTTCTTTCTCCTCGTTTTTTTTTACAACCATTTCTGTTCTTCATATACGGACGCGGCTGCTTGCTTCAGAAAGAGGGGGAGAGAGAGAGAGAGAGTCATAGGAAAGGCAGTATTGACGGCAACGAAGAGAACTCGTGCGTGAACAAAATCGATCGTTAATGAGAAGAGAAGTGTAGGCGACGACGACAGCCGCATCTATAATCTTGAAAAATGTCCTTCTATTTTTTATTCGGCTGTTGCCAATAAAACAGCAGCTTCGACATTTTTCATTCGAAGTAAAAAGAAAAAACCTGACTATGCCATCATTCTATTAACGGTGAGAATATACTGAAAACGAAATGAATATTTATTGATCATACACAATTACATATATATATGTTTGTGTGAAGAAAAAAAAAAACAAAAGTGGCCATTTTAATATAAGTATATGTTTAATTTAATTTGTTTTATTTCAGATCATGACAAGCATTTGCTGTTAGCTCTTTTTTTTTTTTTTTTCCTTTTTTTTTTCAAATGGCTGATACCATAATGACTGATAACCATTCGACTTATCAGAATAATAATAACGACAATACAAACGTGACTGATAATAGTGACGAAAAAATTGATGGTACTGAAAATGGATTAGAAGAAACGACGCAAAAATGTATGAAATATAAAAGAAAAAAAAAAAACAAACAGCATTTGAATCGATAAAAATTGATTGATTCTTTTTTTTTGTTATTATTGTTGTTGTTCTTTTTGTAGCTTATGACAAATTTCGAGATACAGCAAGCCATGTTTCTAATGGTGTTAAACGACGTAAGAAATTTGTTTTCTATCTTATTTAAATTTCTACATCATGTTAAAATAATAAATTTAATATTAATAGAAAAAAATCGATTTTGTTCATCATCAATGAATCAACTTGGTGGTGAATTTATTAATGGTCGACCATTACCAACTGATACACGTGAACGAATAGTTGCATTAGCTGAAAATGGTGTACGTCCATGTGAAATAAGTCGTCAAGTAATATTTTAATATTAATGAAATATTTTCAAATTTTATTTACTCTTTTTTTTTTTATAGCTTCAAGTATCACATGGTTGTGTTAGTAAAATATTAAAAAGGTAAATTATACAAAGGTCATATCAGAATTATATCGTTGTGTGTATACTACGGATATATTTATATATTATCTAGATGCTTATGTATTCTTCTCCTTCGTATATAGTGTAAGATTCTAAGCTCATGGTGATGGTGACTAACTATAGTATAATATTGAAAAAAAAATATATTATTTTTTCAACAAAAAATACACAAAATTTAAATAGATAAATTGTGTTTTTCTTTTTCTGTTTATTTTAATAGATATCGTTTATTTGGTACAACTCATCCAGGTTTAATTGGTGGCTCAAAACCAAAAGTTGCAACACCTGATGTAGTTCGACGTATACGTGAATATAAAGGAAATAATCCTCAAATATTTGCTTGGCAAATTCGTGAAAGTCTTCAAAAAGAAGGCATATGTCCAGCAGATAAATTACCAAGTGTATCATCAATAAATCGAATTGTTCGTAGTAATCGACGAATTGTTTTTAATAATGATGGTAGTATTACAGGTATAGAATTTAAAACAAAAATAAGGAAAAAAAAAATGAAATTATGATTTTCTATTTTTGTTTTATTTAGAACTTGATTCAGATTTTGATTCACGTGACGGAAGTGATAATGAAAATGAAAATGTAATTAAATGTGAAGTAAGAAGACAAAAAAATGTGAAATGATATCATTAACAAGTGTTTTATTTTTAGACAAACCATGTTTCATCATCATCCTCATCATCTTCTGTTAGTTCATCATCACCTCGTTCAACTAATATTCGTCATCGTGGTGATTGTCGTTGTGATGCTTGTATAAAAAAATATAAATTTGCACCATCATTACATAATTTAACTAAGACTTCTTCCATTAAATCAACAATATCAGAGAATGAAGATAATCAAATAAATGAAAATGATTCGAACAGTATATCAAATGATGACACAGTATGTTACTTTTTTTTTTTTAGTGCAAAGAAAAATATTTTCCTTTATTAGATTAAACAAACAACAATAACAACAACAACAACAACAACAACACCTCCACCAGCTAAACATTGTAATTTAAATATTCCATCAATAGATGATGATATTAAACCATTAGATCTTTCTATTTCATCGACAACTCAAATATCAAAACAACAAAATGAACAACCATTAAATTTATCTTCAAAACGTAAACGACATCAACCTGTTAGTTTATTAGCATCAAAACGAAATAATAGTTCATCAACGATAATAACAAAACCAGCTACAACAACGACTACGGCTACTGCTGCTGCTGCCGCAGCTGCAGCTGCAACAGCATCATCTATGTTTATTCCATTTTATGCTATTTCACCATTTTTTGATCCTACAACAACAAATCAACAAGAATTATTTCAACAGTTTCAAACATTTTATTTACAATTACAACAACAACAACAAAAATTAACGAATGAAACGACTAGAAATAATGAATGAAACTTATTTGTTCACTTTTTTTTTTTTACATCGATCTAGTCAAAATTTAATAACATCTATTCTATTCAATAATTTCCCATAGAAAGGTTTTTCATTTTCTTTTGTTTTTTTTTGCTGAGCCAAATTTGTTTTTTGTCCTATTTAATTAAGAGGCCTTCAATTTTGATTTTTGCACAATTAAAAAAGAAAAAAAAACAAAAAAAGACAAAAATCATTGTTTTCTTTTTATTTACTTGTAATTTACAGTCGTTTACTTTTTTTTCTTTATTGTTTTTCTTCCTTTCTTCATTTTCTTTGTCAAACGAGAATGCTATGTGCCATAGAAATGAAAAATAAAAAAAAAAGAAGAAGATTTTTATGATCAAATAAAAACTGAATATAGAAATTATTCAATATATGAAATAATAAAACAAAAAAAAAGTCAATTACATAATTAATCTATGAACAAAAAAAAAAAACAAAATACCAGAAATAATTTATTATTAAAATAACAGTAAATTGTAATGAATAATAACAACATATAAATGTTAATTATATCTGGAATATTTTTTTGTTCAAATTCGAACATAGTCAATTTTTAAAATGTACTAGTTTTTATTGTATTTCAACGAATGAACAATGATTAAACGATGCGCATATTGATTTTAAAGATTAGAAAAATAAACTAATACTTATTAATATTCGACTAAAGTCATATTTCTTTTTTTTTTTTGTCTTACTAATTCAAACAACATGGGAAATAAATTTCTTTCTAAGATTTCTATCATATTCTAATTGTTAGGTTAACATGACATTTGTCTGTATTAATTATAGAACAAAATGCTCAATATAGTTTTTCGATATAGAACGCTAAAGAATATATAACATTTTATTCATAGAAAAAATTGTTTTAAAAAAATTCATGTTAGTAAATGTGTCAGTCGAAAAATTATTTTTAATAGTATAGTCTTTAGAAAAAAAAATCAGATCTAATCATCGGGTGGATATTGAACCTTACAGGAAAATATCCATGATTGTCGGACGCCAATCTACCTCATACTTGATTTATATCAATGACTTGATGAAATTAGTGAAAGTTCAAAAAAATTCTTGTTCATATTTGAGAATATCGATTCCATCTACAGTCATACCCTCATCGTTTATCATAAGCAGACTAGACCTATAAAAAGTGCATCAGGTTGAACATCTGTCCACTATCTACATTTTTTTTTTCTTTCATTTTGAAAAAAAGTAAAAATCAATAGTATTTTTCTTAATTTTTGTGTTATTCAAGATGGAAAAGAACAATCGTAATAGTAAATATAATATGCAGATGTATATTTACAGTTATTATCATTATGACAACATCTGAATAGCATTAAAAATTAATAAAAAGAAATATGTATTGCTCTTTACATATTAATATAATTTAATCAACTGTTTGAAGCTTATTCGATCATCTAGTGAGTTCATTAGACGTATCACTTCATCATTTAATAAAATAATACAAAATGAAAATCAGAACGTGCTGGTTGCATACAAATATAATATAACACGTAGTTTATAGATAAATTTCATGTTAAACATAGGAGAGATCGTAAAAAAAATAATATCTATACTCTTGTTGCATCATTTTTGTTATGAAAATATTTTATTTCGTTTATTTACAATTTTTTATCGAATTCGTCAAAGAGATTTCTTTTCTCTTATCAAGATTAACAACCTTTATTATGAAAACACGATTATTTATAAAGGGAAAAAGGAAGATGGTTATTTCTTGGTCTATTCCCATTTTATAGTAGGATATATTTGAAAAAAAAAAACAGTTGAAGAAAGATAGATCAAATAAGAAGAGAAGTACAAAGAAAGAAGAAGAACATCAACGATAGAATAGAACAATAATACCATATGTCAGAATATGTACTACATCTAGCGAACTAAAATCTTATTTGTTTGCTTACACTTGTATGATGTGTCTATAGAGATTGATGCTTTGTTCTTTCTTTTGTTAACATTACGGATAGAACTCATGCTTAGACTAATTGAAAACACATACAATCGAATGAGAAGAATTTGTGTCGAATGTTACAAGAAATATTTCTACGATCGTTGAATATTCATTGGAGTATTTTCATAGATTTCTACAGCGTTTCGACAATTGTCACAAATTAATATTTAAAATTTTTTGTTTTTCATTTTTGACGATTATAGATCGTTCTCTGTATACATATGTTGATCATTCAGTAGAATAATGAAAAAAACTATTAACACAACGCTTTTTTTGAAAGAACGACAATTCAGCTTGTCTGTAACTATCTTCAGCAATTATGAATATTTTTCACCATAAGTAACACATTGACAAACTATTTTCAAATCACACCTTTCTCAAATATCTTTATTTATGTATGAAAACGATGACTAAGTGTATTAGTTATAGTTATCCTTAGGTAATGCTAAGTTTGTTGTAATAGATAACTAAGAAATATGTAATATATGATCATTGCTATTCTATGGTGTAAAGAACTAGTAAGAATTACTATTGTTTTATTTCTATATCATACTTTGAATATTTCTTAATGATATATAAAAACGAGACATTCACGAAATGAAGAAAATACTTTTTTTTTGCAATACTACGTTAAAAACTTTCTCATGCAACACTTGTTTATAGATGAGTCTCTCCAGATATAAAATGAATTTTACTACTAATAAAGCCTTGTCTCTGGAAAGGATTTGTAGTCAATAGCTTAGTCCTATTTACTGTTCGAAACTGAAATTAATGACCTATTGAGAATGGATTTGATAATATGCCGCAGATGTGTGTCAAAACACTTCTCAACTACTCATTCGCAATAATTATTTACAGCAAACGACGACACTTACACTTATACAAAGTAGCTTCATTTAGATAAATTCTCTTTGACGTTGAACATTGAACTTTCTAGTATCAGATGAACTCACACAATACGAAGATTCGTTGAGGAATGAAAGTCCAGCATATTTCTTTACTAAACAAGGTAACAAAAGAATAAACCGATAGAATCATTCAAATCATGCGAATGCAGCTTTCTGCTTTCTTTTAAAAGTTCTATCGTCCATTTTCCTTACTTTTCGATATTATCGGATATCGTGTCGCGAGGAAGAGCATTTGTACGATACTGTGTTGGTCATTAGGTTTCAATATGTTAAGGCTCGAGTGCTTTGATCGTCTGTATGAAAACTAAAGATTCGTAAGACGAAGAGAAGTAGCAAATGCTATATCACTATGTTGTTTTTGAGAGCATTAGTCAGATGTTGTGCTTCTAGTTATCCAGTTGGATTAAGGTGAAGACTCAAACTAGTGAGTGTCTGTGTGAGAAATGAAGATGCATAAAAGGAAGAAGAGTAGTCAATGATGTATTACCGTATTGTTTTTGAGACCATTGATGAGATGCACTGCCCCTTCATTTGTGATATCATTTACTGCAAGGTTGAGTGTTATCAATATCTGTGTGAAAACTAAAGATTCGCAAGAAGAAGATGAGTAGTCAATGATGCATTACTGTGTTCTGTGTGAGAGCATTGACAAGATGTTGCGCTTCTTGGTTCTTAATGCTATTAAATTTTAGGTCAAGCGTTGTGAATGTCTACATGAAAAATGATGATTGACAAAGCGAAGATGAATAGTAAATGATGTATAACTTTGTTGTGTGTGAGACTATTACCATGGTTTTGTGCTTCAATGCTTTTGATGGGTTTAAACTCAAGGCTGAATGTAGTCATTGTCTATTGAAAGAATACAGATTCAGACTGAACGCGAAAGTTTAGCTTCGCTTTTCTAAAGACTTTTGAGTTCTTAAAGTCTTGACAGTTCTCACAATTTCTTAGTTTCTGGGACTTCGTAGAATTATGTTTACTTTCGTTTGATGGCATTGTTTCTTCAATGACTGTTTGGGTTTCCAAAATTCAACTAGGTCTCTTCTGTGGCCTTGAATTGGATTCATCTAAAGAAATTTTGTCTACAATTATTATAGAAAAATAAAACTGTATTGCAAAAGCGTTCAACACATTCTAATTGTCGACTAGTTTTGTTTTCTGTTTAGTAAAACATTGCAGAAAAAATATAAAATTCAATAGATCTTTTAATAATGCCTTAATTAATGTAATATTCATCAAAGTCTAAATATTATATTCAAATTTGTACTATTCTAAAATCAATAAGTAATCTAACCACAATAATCATTTATTGAACGGAATTATGTTTTAACGATGATCGAAATCTGACTCTATTATAAAGATGAAACTTACTTGATATCGATTATATGTGTCTATAATAGCATTTAGTCGTGAACAAACATTACGAATCGAATCTAATATTGCTTCGTTACAATGAATGTATCTTTAAATTTTTCTTCATGTTGATGCGTTTATTGACAATGTGTTTTCAACACTTCAGCATGATTGTGCAGTTTCTTTATTTACACAATTAAGTGACCTAAATACAATGCGATGAATGCAACAACCAGGTAAATTCCTTTAAATTAATTATACATTGATGATTATTTTCATCATCATTTCATATAAGACTTTCACGTGTCTAAAGTAGAATCAGAAGATCGGTCACTCTGCAAGTATTTTTCTTAAATTTTCGAATCGAAACAAGTTTTTGAACTTTTGTCAAACATTGAATTCTTTTATATGAAGTTCTAATCTAACACAATAATTTGTCATTTAGAGAAAAGTACTTAGTATTCAAGTAAATGATAATCTTATATGTAGAAAATGTGTATAATAAACAGAGAAGTACTTTTATCTTCAAGAATACTTTTATATAACGTATTAATAATATTTGATACGTGAAAAAACTATCAATATGTATTTCTATTTCTCATTATGTGTTTGTTATAAATAAAACTTTGAATTTATTGTTTTCACTGCTTAAAACTTGTTACTATCATAAACAATAAATGTCTCTACTATTCACTTTATTCATTATAACATGTATCTCGATCTCGTTTATGTCTGGAACAAATTTTTAAAGA